TAGGGTTCCCATTATGGATGAACTTCTTGGGGATGGTGAACTTGATTTTCCGAGAGCAAGGCTAAACATGGTTATGTTTGAAAAAGTGCAAATTGTGTTTTGAAGGATAGATTCGTTAAGACATGATAATGCGTACATTCTAATGAGCGGAAGTAAGAGGAGCTTTTGAAATGACTTTTCTCATCGGGAAAAAATCTTAGTACGATTAGAATAGATCGCAGATGGTTGATGGACGCTATAAGTAATTGGGTAACAAGATATCGTGATTGCTCTACTATAGTGTTAATTTTCTTGAATTTCGATTTCAATTTCTAAAATTACAGAATCTATACAATCTACGAGGTCGAGTATAAGGGACAGCTCATTTTTACGGCTTTCCCCTTTCACAAGTGTACTTATTTGGAAAAGGAAAACTTCCAAAAAAATACACATTAGGATAGAGGAAGAGAAGAAGGGAAGAAGAAGGAGAGAAAGGCAAATAAACTGTGTTTCGTAATTCCTTCTTCCACTCCAATCGCCCCTCTTTTTGCACACACAACACAACTAACGCAACAGGCTCTTCTATTCGAGCTGGCTGTAACAACTAATGGTCCCAGAATACCATTAAAAATGTCACCGGCCTCATACCCCCATGCCTGAGTGTTATCTGAGCCCTTGAGCCCGTGTTTATACGACTTTTTACCAAGAAAGCTGTTGCTCTACATACTTTGTTCGCGTAATTGGAAAACAGCTTGTAGAGAAGGCAGCGGGGAAAGAGGGAGAGGGGGATATGGAAAAGAGAAGGAGCGGAAGAGAATTGGATTTTGCATAATCTAATCCCATGTGCAATCATACGTCTTCCTTGTAACTGCTACAAGTCTTTCCTAAACTTGGTCACTGCTGGGGCAGTTGTCAAATTTCGTCCCCTGATCATGTTCTCAAAACAGTCTCTCTACGTTACACCTGTACCCAACTCACTGTTTGCTCATCTCTGCACTCATGCCAAATATACAACACAGGATCGATAGGTGTCAATTCATGCGTGGTTCCAGTTACTTCAAAACGACCATGCTCATCCGTTCTCTTCTCATCGAGTGTATCATCTGGATCCGGTCCTGAGCCCACAATTCAGTTTGCACAGCATTTGTTGCTAATTCGATATAATCGCCTACCGTAATCGATGTCAACAATGCGAACTTTGCTGTAGTTGGAAGGAGTGGGACCACATTTCAGCACTCCACGAACGGCAACGCCCTGTTTCCGTAGTGCCCAACAGGCGCCAATGCACAGGAACAGGTAAAGAACAACAGTCTGCCAAAGTCGCATTCTGTAAAGCTTGACCTTTTGAAAACTTTCTTAAGTTGCAGAATTGAGAAAAGGAGCGAGGCACCGCTTTATTAATATGGAGAAGTTCGTTCCGAGTTTAGATAGCAAAGGATCATAGACGTGGTTGAAGGTGTAGAGAATTAAAGCGGCTCTTGCAAAAACAAAAACTTTTGCATTTTAGTCTATTCTTCTAACAAATGTCAGTTTTAAACAATAGTGGAGATTGGATACATTCTTTTATACATTAAAGAACATCGTATTTTTACAGCTTCATATTATTATACCTATTTAAAAA